CAAGATTATTTCCACAACCGTATGTGATCTCATAGGTCTGAGGTTTCTCCTAACCAACAGTGGGACCTCTTCAGAAGCAGAGACACAGTCCCCAGGATGAGATCCTATCTGGGTTTTCATTTCTTCCATGAGATCAATAATGAATCAAGGGGAACTAAATCCATACAAAAATGGAATCAAATGGGACTTTATTCACTGAGTGTAAAGACCATCATAAGCAGTGAGATCCAGGTGGCTCCATGGGTAAGCACGGTGTTCTTCTGGAGACCTATTTCTTATATAAATCTATTACATATCATACATATATATCATATGAAGAAAAGAAAATCTCTGCAACTGAGAGAGGCTGGAGGAGGTGGATGAGCTTACTAACATGGAAAGCAAGAAGCACTTTTTTAAAAAAAATTTTTTTTACATTTATTTTTGAGAAATAGAGTGAGACAAAGCGTGAACGGGGGAGGGGCAGACAGAGTAGGAGACATAGAATCTGAAGCAGGCTCCAGGCTCTGAGCAAGCAGTCAGCACAGAGCCTGATGCAGGGCTCGAACCCACGAACTGTGAGATCATGACCTGAGCTGAAGTCGGACGCTGAACCGACTGAGCCACCCAGGCGCCCCAAGAAGCACTTTTTAAAACAGCCTAACTACTTTCTGGATTCTGGCTTTCTCCTTGAAGATTTAGTATGGAGGTTCAAAATTTCCAGCCAGGACTGCTTATATAATTTTTAAGATTGATTTAAAAGGAAAATTTGAGATCTTCATTCACACTTGATCTTAGCCAAAAGGCTGAGAAGCAATTGAGATCTTTATTCCAAAAGGAGGCTCATTAGGTAATGTTTCTAGTAGAACCATTTTTCTAAAATGCTTTAACTCTTCATTTCATGTCTCTGAATTTAATTTTTTAAAGGTTTTCATTTTTTTCAGCTATTTTAGGGTTCAATGAAAACTTAGGAAGCACATACTGAGGTTTCTATTCCACCTTCTGCACGGCCTCTCCCATTATCAACTTCCCCATGGCAGTGGTGTACCTTTCACAATGGATGAACCTATGTTGACACATTGTATCACCCAAAGTCCTCAGTTTACCAGGGGTTCACTCTTGGTGTTACACATTTTATGGTTTTGAACAAATGTACAATGGCATGTATCCACCACTGTAGTATCATAGTGAGTAGGTTCACTAAATATTCTCTGTGCTCTGCTCACCCCTCCTGCTCCCCTCAACCCTTGGAAACCACAGTCTTTTTTTTTGCAATATATGAACTTTATTGTCAAATGGGTTTCCATACAACACCCAGTGCTCATCCCAAAAGGTGCCCTCCTCAATACCCATCACCCACCCTCCGCTCCCTCCCACCCCCCATCAACCCTCAGTTTGTTCTCAGTTTTTAAGAGTCTCTTATGCTTTGGCTCTCTCCCACTCTAACCTCTTTTTTTTTTTTTCCTTCCCCTCCCCCCTGGGTTTCTGTTAAGTTTCTCAGGATCCACATAAGAGTGAAAACATATGGTATCTGTCTTTCTCTGTATGGCATATTTCACTTAGCATCACACTCTCCAGTTCCATCCATGTTGCTACAAAGGGCCATATTTCGTTCTTTCTCATTGCCACGTAGTACTCCATTGTGTCTATAAACCACAATTTCTTTATCCATTCATCAGTTGATGGACATTTAGGCTCTTTCCATATTTTGGCTATTGTTGAGAGTGCTGCTATAAACATTGGGGTACAAGTGCCCCTATACATCAGTACTCCTGTATCCCTTGGGTAAATTCCTAGCAGTGCTATTGCTGGGTCATAGGGTAGGTCTATTTTTAATTTTCTGAGGAACCTCCACACTGTTTTCCAGAGTGGCTGCACCAGTTTGCATTCCCACCAACAGTGCAAGAGGGTTCCCGTTTCTCCACATCCTCTCCAGCATCTATAGTCTCCTGATTTGTTCATTTTGACCACTCTGACTGGCGTGAGGTGATATCTGAGTGTGGTTTTGATTTGTATTTCCCTGATGAGGAGCGACATTGAGCATCTTTTCATGTGCCTGTTGGCCATCCGGATGTCTTCTTTAGAGAAGTGTCTATTCATGTTTTCTGCCCATTTCTTCACTGGGTTATTTGTTTTTCGGGTGTGGAGTTTGGTGGGCTCTTTATAGATTTTGGATACTAGCCCTTTGTCCGATATGTCATTTGCAAATATCTTTTCGCATTCCCTTGGTTGCCTTTTAGTTTTGTTGGTTGTTTCCTTTGCTGTGCAGAAGCTTTTTATCTTCATAAGGTCCCAGTAATTCACTTTTGCTTTTAATTCCCTTGCCTTTGGGGATGTGTCAAGTAACAGATTGCTACAGCTGAGGTCAGAGAGGTCTTTTCCTGCTTTCTCCTCCAGGGTTTTGATGGTTTCCTGTCTCACATTCAGGTCCTTTATCCATTTGGAGTTTATTTTTGTGAATGGTGTGAGAAAGTGGTCTAGTTTCAACCTTCTGCATGTTGCTGTCCAGTTCTCCCAGCACCATTTGTTAAAGAGACTCTCTTTTTTCCATTGGATACTCTTTCCTGCTTTGTCAAAGATTAGTTGGCCATAGGTTTGTGGGTCTAGTTCTGGGGTTTCTATTCTATTCCATTGGTCTATGTGTCTGTTTTTGTGCCAATACCATGCTGTCTTGATGATGACAGCTTTGTAGTAGAGGCTAAAGTCTGGGATTGTGATGCCTCCTGCTTTGGTCTTCTTCCTCAAAATTACTTTGGCTATTCGAGGCCTTTTGTGGTTCCATATGAATTTTAGGATTGCTTGTTCTAGTTTTGAGAAGAATGCTGGTGCAATTTTGATTGGGATTGCATTGAATGTGTAGATAGCTTTGGGTAGTATTGACATTTTGACAATATTTATTCTTCCAATCCATGAGCAGGGAATGTCTTTCCATTTCTTTATATCTTCTTCAATTACCTTCATAAGCTTTCTATAGTTTTCAGCATACAGATCTTTTACATCTTTGGTTAGATTTATTCCTAGGTATTTTATGCTTCTTGGTGCAATTGTGAATGGGATCAGTTTCTTTATTTGTCTTTCTGTTGCTTCATTGTTAGTGTATAAGAATGCAACTGATTTCTGTACATTGATTTTGTATCCTGCAACTTTGCTGAATTCATGTATCAGTTCTAGCAGACTTTTGGTGGAGTCTATCGGATTTTCCATGTATAGTATCATGTCATCTGCAAAAAGCGAAAGCTTGACTTCATCTTTGCCAATTCTGATGCCTTTGATTTCCTTCTGTTGTCTGATTGCTGATGCTAGAACTTCCAACACTATGTTAAACAATAGCAGTGAGAGTGGGTATCCCTGTCGTGTTCCTGATCTCAGGGAAAAAGCTCTCAGTTTTTCCCCATTGAGGATGATGTTAGCTGGGAAACCACAATCTTTTTACTGTCTCCACAGTTTTGCCTTTTCCAGAATGTCATGTAGTTGGAATCATAACATATGTAGCCTTTTCAGATTGGCTTCTTTCACTTACTAAAATGCATATGTTTCCCCTATCTCTTCATGGCTTGATAGCTCTGAATTATATTTTTATAATTTTTAGCACTGAACATATTCCATTGGTTGGATATACCACCATTTATCTACCCATTTGCCTATTCAAAGACGTGATGCTACTTCCAAATTTTGGCCATTATGGATAAAACCGCTATAAAACACCTGTATACAGGTTAGTGTGTGGACATAAGTTTTCAAACTCTTTGGTTAGATACTCAGGAAGGCCATTGCTGGGTCATATGGTAAGAGTATGTTTACTTGTGTGATAAATTGCCAAACTGTTTTATTGAAATGGCCATGTATACACTTCCATTTTGTAGTAATTTACCAACAAAATTTACTATACCCTTTTACAACATGTCAAAGCCGCAGGTAGTCCAAAGCACGCACAGGCGCAACAGGTGGTCCCGCCCACTGCCCAGCTCACACACAACCTGCTGTGACTGAGAACCTGAGCCTGCATGTGTTTGCACGCTGTGTCCTGCTGCCCGTGGACCTCCTCTGCTCATGCATATGTTCTACCCTCTAACAGGACTTCACTTACAAAACACCAGTACAAAGATAAAATTATTTTAATTTCAAGACAGTGATGGCAGAGCATTAAAACAAGGCCAGGGCTCCTTCTGAGAGTCAAAGTGCTGTGGAATTGCACAGGTCACATGCTCTAGAAGCTGGCTCTGCACCCAGTTTCTGGGAGTCTGTCCATTTATGTCCACCATAATTGTCAAGGCTTCCTAGCAACGCCCTTTCATCAACATAAAAAACAGTGCAAGCTGGAATTCAGTTTGTGTTTTAATTATTTCACATGCAAGTTTGAACTTTGAGTTTGGAGTCAGAAGTCTTTGTCTCTGCCTACAACAGAGAAGAGTTTCTTTTAGAGTAGTTCGGGAATATTTATACTTCATTTCCCTAATGGTGAATGATGCTACAAAATCATGAGTAATACATTCACTCAAAACACAAGGAAAAGCAATGGATTTCAATGGAACAGAAGGAAAATTTCCATGAGCTCTTCCACCCAAGGTGCTATTTAGAAATGACAATTGGGTACTTTTGTCAGTGATATATATAAACACATTGTAAAAACTGATCATTAGAAATCCTTTTGTGATTCTGAAGACTCTTCTACATCAGGTAGCTAGCAGATAAGCTCTCATGTCACCTCAGATGCTCTAATTTAGGAATAATATGACCTCAACCAAGTCACTTTTGCTTTAAAATCCTCACCTTATTCGTGCATAAAATAAAAGTACTTATTACAGGGCATTATCTTACCAAAATAGAAAATAATTGTAATAAGTTAAGCAGAGTGGTTGAACTTCAATAAAAATTGTTTTATTATATTTGTATTTCCAGGAGTGTAAAAGCCGAATACAAACTTTAAAAAACATTACACACGTTCTGTTTTATTTTCTTTGAAAAAAAAAAACCATGTGCAGTTAACTGAAAAATTTAGTCATCTCTTAGTCATATGGTCATGGTTGATGACCATATATGTTTTCAAGCCTTTTCCCTCTGAGTAATTTACATATAATTTATATGCTAGCTGCCAGGAGATATGTTTCAACTGGGCATTGGATATTGGCATCTCCGTCAACTACTCCAATGGTTCCATGGTAGAGCTTTTTACCTGGAAAGGGCTTTCTGGGAAGAAAAAGGGCAAGAAAAGCAAAAGTGAAATGACAGCCCTGATGGGTTACTTTTAGGAGAGAAAAAAGTACTGTAACATAAGTATGAAAATGTGCAAAAACTCCTGTGTGGGCAAATAAGTGCCTGCCCCATGAAGAGCTGGGGCCACGAGCCCAGTTGCAGTTTGGGGACAGGCTGCAGAGCAGCAGGGAGCACTGTGCCTCCACAGCACACAGATAGGTGGCTGAGTCTTCCTGCTGGGAGGCCATGATGTGCAGGCTGCTGTGCCGGTCCTTAGTGTTCACCGTGCAGTTCAACCTCCCATCCTGCTTCATCCCTGAAACTATGTAAAACAGTCGGGTGAGGCCGCCGCCCCCGGGGTTCTGTCGGAACCACTGCACGTAGGTCACCGAGCTGGAAAAATTGCACCTCAGGGTAGAGCTGGCTCCCTCCTGGAGGCTCAGGGCTGCAGGTGTCTGCTCCACGTCCATCCCTCTCACCCCTGCTTGGAAAGACAAAACCAAACACAAAAGAAGTCACTGCAGAGCCACTGAGGCAGTTTTCAAACCCATAAAGTATTCCCGGGAACACCCGCTGAGGGTGTAGACCCTGCAGGAGCTCTGTGCCAGCTCCCCCTCCACTGCGGGCTGTGAACCTCCCCAGCCCCCGTCTGGGACGCCCCCACTCACAGCAAACCTGCACCCACAGAAGCCCCAGCAGGGCTCCCCGCTGTCTCTTCATGACTCCTTGTCTGGTCGCTGATGTGCCTTCACCCCTACTCTGAAGAGTGTAGAGTCTTGGGTCAGAGAAGTTGTGTTGTCAACAGTCACCACGTCCCTCCAGAATCACTGAGCACCAATCACACCTGAACCCTGTCAGTCCCGGAACTGAAACTCCACCCACAGCAGCCCAAGAGACTGCAGAGCAATCTATCCAAAACTGTGCTTGCCAATGGTGCAGGGAGGTAGGGACGATATTTCCAATATGTGAAGTTATAAGAGTTTTTTTTTCCCCTGAAAATACTTTTTGTAAGAAATTTGTGGATTAGAGGAAAGTGGATAATATTTCTGTATAAGTCAGTGTCTCAATGGGTTACACAGAACCTTGAAAAATCACAGGGAAGAGTAACCCATCACCCAAATTGCATGGTTTGATAGACAATGTGAGAATTCAATTATATAAAAATACTAATAAAGGGAAATTATATGATAGCGTGTATTGTGGAAGTAAATATAATTTCTTGAAATCAAGAGAGTTCTAGAAACCACGATGGACAGTCACCATCTGCACAGAAAATGATTCCAAGCAGAATTTAGTTGGCGAATAATAAGATGTTTGTATAATGTCCACTCTGATTTAATATACACCTCTCCGCCTCTCTTGTGCAACCCGTGGACACCCTGCTCACCCACACAGCTGATTTTTGCTGGTCTACATGCTACTGGTCAAAGTAAATATTGTAGCCTCCCTTTTCTTCCATTTTTCTTCCTTATTTTTTTCTCTTCTCTTCAGTCTCATTCTTTCCACTCTGAGCAGAGATAAATGAAAAGGTAGGCTGTCTGGAGTATTGAAATAATTTCTAGGTCAGTGGGTTTGTGTGATTTTATTGATAACCATGGAAAACAGGTAATAGGATGTTTTCCATTGAGCTTCCACAGTCACAATGCCCAGAAATATTCTTATCCTGGTACTTGTGCTCAGAGAGTCATCCTCACAGGGTATTTATGGAGATATGGGTTCCACCTTTTTGAAGTTTATGTGGAATGGCAGAACTGGAAACCTGAGATGAATTTTAGGCAAACAATGTCCCCCTTCCCCCCCCCCACCTTTGCTATTTATAATTTGACTGGGTCACATGACTTCTGTTCTCTCTTCAACTGTTCAACTCTTGGACCATCACAAAGTCTTTGTTTCTTACAAAGCCTAGAGTGCCCCCTAGAGGACTGAAACAATCAGCAAAGACCACTTTATACCAAGCAACTCAGCAGACACAGAGCCCCCCCAGCCCCATTCATTCCATGCTTCCTGATGAAGGAAATGCAGATGGTCAAAATAGAAGCTAACTGCTCAGATTGAATGGGGATTAAAAATGAACCAAATCCCACATGTAAAATGGAATTTCATGGAAATTGATATCAGAAAATATTTTGATAAATCTCAACCTGTGCTGTTTACTTGATTTCTTTAACTTAGTTCAAAATAAATCTACAGGGGCATCTGGATGGCTCAGTTGATTAACTGCTGGGCTCTTGGTTTCAGCCCAGGTCATGATCTCATGGTTTGTGGGTTTGAGCCCCACCTCGGGCTCTGTGCTGACAGCACAGAGCCTGCTTGGGATTCTCTTTCTCCCTCTGTCTCTGCCACTCCCCTGTCCATGCACTCTCTTGCTCTCTCTCTCAGAATAAATAAATAAACTTTAAAAAATTTTTAAATAAACCCATAGAAGAGAGGGGCCAAGATGGCAGAGCAGCATGGAACTTCTCAGCTTTTCTTGTCCCTGAAATGTAGCTAGATCAGCACCAAACCATATTGCACACCTAGAAAATTGATCTGAGGATTAACACAACAATCTGCATAACTTGAGCCACAGAACTTGGCAAGTACACAGTACAGACAGGTAAACTTGGAGAGACAGAAGCCACAGAGGGTAGGGAACTGTTTTTGCAGAGAGAGGACAGAGAAAGTGGGGAGAGTACAGGAAAAGCACTGCCCCTGAAGCAGCTGGAGAGAAAGAAAAAGAGTGGAAACACCCAAAGTGACTGAACAAGAAAGGAAGAAAGGAGAAAGGAGATGGTTTCAATACCAATAGGACTCTATAAACAGGGGAGAGCAGTGTCAGAAAGTCCATAGCTCAATACCTGGTGGTACTCTGGTGGGAAAAGTGAATCCCCTGGAGCAGGCAGCAAGGTCCGAGGGATCCATTGGCCACACAAGGAGTAGAAGTTCCCCTGCTTGGAGGACATTTGGTAGAGGCTATAGGACCTCCCCACAGGCAAAGGTCCCATCAGACACCAGAGAACAGCCATGTTTGTTGATATTGGAACCAAAGTGCCAGGGTGTGGTGAAACCTGGCACCGGCTGTGTGTTGTGCTTTCCCATAATCTCTGAACCTCTACTCCTGTGTGATCACATGAACTTTTTTCTGGGGCAAACATGCACCCAGCCACTATCTCTGAACCTCTGCAACAGTGCAACCACACAAACATTCCCAAGGCAAAGCCAGCAACCAGCCATTGCTCCTGGAAACCCTCCCCCAGAGGGTCAGAGCAGGTCCAAGCTGCAGGGCTCTCAGAAATGAGGGGAATGTAAACACAGCCCCATATGAGATATAATTCAGGAGAGAGGTACAACCTGGTAGACTGCTGGCTTGGACATGAACAGTGTAGAAGAAGGAAGTGGATGGAAGCCAGAGACAAAGGAAGGGTACTTGATTGATGGTCGGTGAGAGCAGAGTTCCAGTGCCATAGACTGGAAGATGGGTGACACCATTTCCACCTCTCCCACGCATGTGCATATATGCGCATGCGAGCCACAGCAATCCACCCCAGTAAGCTAAGCACCACCACCTAGTGGAGAACCCAGCCATTACGTTAACCCCATCCAACCACACCAACCAAGCTCAAGCCCTAGAGAACCACCACAAATCTATCCACAGGCTTAGTGTATGGACTATAAAGTGCTTCATAGTTAGACTTATAGGGAAACTGGATGTTATTCGGATTTCATTCTGTTCATTGGTCCATCTATTTGGGGTTTTTTGTTTTGTTTTTTGCTTTTGTTTTTTTGCTTTTTCTTGGATACAGAAAGAGAAAGAATTTATTCTTATTTTCTGCTTGTTAAAGCAATTTGTATAACTTTTTTATTATATTTTTTAATTTTTTGTATATATACACACACACACACACACACACACACACATATACCACACACATATACAATGGAATACTACTTCGCAATGAGAAAGAATGAAATTATGCCATTTGCAGCAATGTGGATGGAAATGGAAGGTATTATGCTGAATGAAATAAATCAGTCAGAGAAAGACACATATCATATGTTTTCACTCATATGTGGATCTTGAGAAACTTAACAGAAGACCTTGGGGGGAGGGAAGGGGAAAAAATATTTACAAACAGAGAGGGAGGGAGGCAAACCATAAAAGACTCTTAAATACAGAGAACAAACAGGGTTGATGGGGGTTTGGCGGAGAGGGGAAAATGGGTGATGGGCACTGAGGAGGGCACCTATTGGGATGAGCACTGGGTGTTATATATAAGCAATGAACCACGAGAATCTACCCCCAAAAACAAGAGCACACTTTACACACTATATGTTAGCCAATTTGACAATAAAATATATTTTAAAAATTTGTTTAACTTTTTTACTATGTTTTTTATTTTGTAAATTTTTTATTCTATTTTGCTTTCTTCATTTCATTTTATTGTATTGTATTGTATACATCTTTAAGTTTTTTTAATTTTTCTTATTTTTTCTTTTCTTTTCCTTTTTTCTCCATTATATCAAGCTTCTTTCAATAGCCAGACCAAAACATACCTAGGATCTAGTTTCCTTTTGTTTGATTTTTTTGTGTTGTTTTTAATTTTTTAATTTTAATTTTTTATTTTATTAATTCTTTGTCTTTCTCCAAAATGACAAAATGAAGGAATTCACTCCAAAAGAAAGAACAGAAAGAAATGACAACCAGTGACTTAATAAACACAGATATCACCAAGATGTCTGAACTAGAATTTAGAATCATGATAATAAGAATACTAGCTGGGGTTGAAAAAAGCATAGAATCCCTTTCTGCAGAGATAAAAGGAGTACAATCTAGTCAAGACAAAATTTAAAATGCTATAACGGAGATGCAATTTCAAATGGATGACACCATGGCAAAGAAGGATAAGGCAGGGCAGCAAATATGCAATACAGAAGACAAAATTATGGAGAATAAATGAAGCAAAAAAAAAAAGAGGGAAACTAAGGCAAAAAAGCATGATATATAAGAATTAGAGAACTCAGTGACTCATTACAAAGTAATAACATCCGAATCATAGGAGATCCAGAAGATGAAGAGAGAGAAAAAGGGGTAGAAGGGTTTTGTGAGCAAATCATAGCAGAAAACTTTCCTAACCTAGGGAAAGACACAGGCATCAAAATCCAGGAAGCACAGAGAAATCCCAGTAGATTCAACAAAACTGACCACCAATAAGGCATATCATGGTCAAATTCACAAAACACAAAGACAAGGAAAGAATTATGAAAGCAGCAAGGGAAAAAAAAAGTCCTTAACATACAAGGGAAGACAGATCTGGTTCACAGCAGACCTATCCACAGAGACTTAGCAGGCCAGAAAGGAGTGGCAGGATATAGTCAATGTGTTGAACCAGAAAAATATGCAGCCAAGGATTCTTTTTTTTTTCTTTTTTAATTTTAATGTTTATTTTTGAGAGAGAGAGAAAGAATGTGAGGGGGCAAGGGGCAGAGAGAGAGGGAGACACAGAATCTGAAGCAGTCTCCAAGTTTGAGCTGTCAGCACAGAGCCTTACACAGGGCTCAAACTCATGAACCGTGAGATCATGACCTAAGCCGAAGTCAGGCACTTAACCAACTGAGCCACCAATGTGTCCCTACAGCCAAGAATTCTTTATCCAGCAAGGCAGTCATTCAAAATAGGAGAGACAAACAGTTTCCCAGACAAACAAAAATTAAAGGAGTTTGTGACCACTAAACCAGCCCTGCAAGAAATTTTGAGGGGGACTCTCTGAGGGGAGAAAACATGAAAACTAAATAAATAAATACCAAAAACAACAAAGACTAGAAAGGAATAGAGAACACCACCAGAAACTCCAACTCTACAGGCAA